TGGGATGCTCCAAAACTGGAGGCTTTCAAGAAGAGATTGGACCACCCTTTGTCTGAAATGGTATAGGGTCTCCTTGCTCGAGCAGGGGGTTGGACTAGAAGACCTCCAAGGTCCCTTCCAACTCTGCTATTTTGCATTCGGTAATTCCTCACTGAAGGAATTAAGACGCAATGGCTTTCAAGGGGACAAAGAGTTGTGTAGCAAAGTTCTGCCACTTGGCTCTCTCTCCAAAGGAGAGAGGGGGCCGGAGAGATGGGTGAAGGAATATGAAGGACCCACAAATTATACGCCAAGAACCCCTGCAGCAATGGAGATCATCTAGACCAAAGCAGAGAAGAACCTCAGCAGATCTTCCAGAAGTTGTGGCTGCTCCATCACTGGAGGTTTTTAAGGAGAGATTGGACAGCCATTTTTCTGAAACGGTATAGGCCAGGGGTCTCCTGCTCCAGCAGGGGATTGGACTAGAAGGCCTTCAGGGTCCCTTCCAACTCTTTTATTCTGTCAAGATGCTCGGTTGCCTTCCTCCATTTTAGCTCCTGAATTTTTGGTAAATACGTGCCTTCCTCCATTTTAGCTTCCTCCAATACGTGCCTTCCTCCATTTTAGCTCCTGAATTTTTGGTAAATACGTGCCTTCCTCCATTTTAGCTCCTGAATTTCCTGCAGACGCACTGTGGGACATTCTTGGGATAAATGTGGGGCAGCTGATTTATTGGGGGAGGGTGTTTTGAGCTGCCTCCAAGGGTTAGGAGGAGGATATGCTGAGGACAGAGAGAAGAGAGTAACCAACCTTTCAGCAGAACAGGTATGGCCCGAGAAGAAACAACAGAACCTGAAGAACGAGGGCTGTGTACAATTCAGCCGAGCTTGCAATTCTAGACCTAAGCACTGGACACGGGTGCCAAGATTCCTTCGGATAAGTAAGTTAGGCGTTTGACTTTTCTTGCTATCTCCCTTCCTTCCCCAACATGTGTACAATTTAACCGGGTCGCTTGCGCATCTCCCACGAGGAGTGAAGGAGACCCTACCCCAGGGATCTTGATCTTTCAGAGCAGATGCAGGACTTGGCCGCATTCAGAATGACTTTGGTTCTTTCCACGTTTGCTGCAAATGGGCCCCTTCCCTGGAAGGGAACGAGGGCAGGAAAGCGTGCATGGAGGAGGACCACCAACTCTGTCTAAACCTACTTGCTTTTGGGCATAACCCCGCTGCATGAGCAGGAAGGCAGTCCCTCAAGTGAGAACGGAAGATTCCTGCACTGCCTAAAGCCCCCAGATGAGGACATTTCCATCTGGATTAATGGTCCCTAAGAGGGAAAAAAAAATAGCAGGGTCCTGTCAGCAGTTCCAAGAAGGCTCTACACCAGGGGTAGGCAACCTTGGCTCTTTTATGACTCGTGGACTTCAACTCCCAGAATTCCTGAGCCAGCCATGCTGAGGGGAAAGGGAGAGGTTTCCAAGCTGAGCCCTGCTGGCTCAGGAATTCTGGGAGTTGAAGTCCACGAGTCATGAAGGGGCCAAAGTTTCCCTCATGCTGGCTCAGGAATTCTGGGAGTTGAAGTCCATGAGTCATAAAGCGGCCTAGGCCTAGGCCAGGGGTAGGCCACCTTGGCTCTTTTATGATTTGTGGACTTCAACTCCCAGAATTCCTGAGCCAGCATGGCTCAGCTTGGAAACCTCTCCCTTTCCCCTCAGCTTGGCTGGCTCAGGAATTCTGGGAATTGAAGTCCATGAGGCATAAAAGAGCCAAGGTGGCCTACCCCTGCTCTACAGCCTTTTGCACTCTGATTCAGCTGACCCTGAGGGCCCAGATAAACCTCCAGGTGGTCTCAACGACTCTGAGAGAGAGTGAGAGAGTGAGAGTGAGAGTGAGAGTGAGAGAGAGAGAGAGAGAGAGAGAGAGAGAGAGAGAGAGAGAGAGAGAGAGAGAGAGAGAGAGAGCTAGCGACCAGACGACTGCAAGGACTATAAATCCTTCCATCCTCTACCATTCAGTCAGAACTGAAGAAGCCCCTTGGATGAGAAGCAAAACATCAAGAAAACCAAGAAAATCCAGTTGCCTTTTGAAAAAAAGTCCCTTTTGAAAGCCTTGCTAATTTTTCCTCTTTTCTACTCTGTCTCTTTCTTAGAAAACATGAAGACACAAAGGCAAGGAGATGCCAAAAAGAATGTTTTTTTTTAAATTTATATACCACCGTACTGATTTTGCTAAAAGAGCTTTCTCTCCAAGAACCTTTGTGAAGACTGAAAGAGGAACATTTATCTTTTCATCAGAGTTTTGACACAACGCGCGTCCAGTTTTGACACAACGCACGTCCGGGTCAAAAAGAAGGGGCTGAGCGGACCCGTAATATTTACCCATCTGATCTCTCCGGGGCCCAAAGACGAACAAAGGTCAAATTCAAAGCACAGTCCTTTTGCAATCCCCCAAATCCTGGTGGAGAAAAAAAAATATATGACAAAGCGTTTGGCTAGAAACACAAAGGTAGGAGGCCATAATCACGTTAAGCAGTGCAAAGATTCTTTTTAAAAAAGAAAAATAAAAAAAATCACTGTTATCCGTTTGAAGGAACCATGTGTGAAAATCAAATACAGATGAGTTAATCTCTAGGTAGAAGCTTTTCAAAGGGATTAAGGATGTCTTTTTTTTTTAAATTAAAGGGTAACTTCTCTGGCCTAGATTCATCACTAATAAGGTCATTTTATTTGGGGGGGTGTCAGAGTTTATTCGGTTAAAGGAGTCAGCTTTTGCCATGGTTCTAGTCATCCCATGAAGTTTTTGCTGGTCCTTAACTCAAAAGATCAACTCAACAGAAGAAACCTGCCATCTCCTGTATCACGTTTCCAAAATAATCTCATTTTCTCTCGCAGCTCCTTTTTCTCCAAGAGGACCACGAAAGAAACTCTGCTTCCCAAAACCCAGGATCACTTTATCCACGGACAACGGGTGTAACTGCTAACCAGGATGGGGATATATGTAGTACCCACGTACATAAATACTCTTATCAGGAGAAGCCAGCAGTCCGAATTTGTGCTCAGGAGGGGAAAGTTGGTGAGCCAGGAGACAAATCCTAAAACCCATCTTGGAGCAGAGAAGTCCCTGAAGGTGAGCAGGCTTGGATAGGGACAATGACTCCGCCCTATTGGTTTTGTCTCTAGATATACTCAAATATTTTCTCTGTTAGGTTGCAAAGCTTGGCACAGTCTGAGTTTAGCAAAGCAGAATAATCATCAGTTTTGGTTATTGTTATTTTTTTTTCTCTCCTTTACTACAGGTGGCCGGTAGTTTTTGTACAAATGCTGCAAAAGCAGCCTATTTACAAGCAATGGCGATGGCCGAACGGGGCACCAATCTGTCAATGACATGAGCATGCTAGTTGGCATCCAATAACAGGAGAGGATTTGGGCCAAAGAGTCTCTAGGCAAGCCCAACGCGGTCCCTCTTTTGGCTCCAGATGGAATTGCCGCAGCCAACTCAGCGCAGGACAATTTAGCAATTCCATTTAATGATTTAAAATAAATTTTTAAAAATATTTTAATTGTTATCGTTCATGTTTCATGTTCATGTTCCTTCCTTTAATGATTCTATGCCACCATTTCTTTGTTAATAGTATAATTCTCGCCCCGCGGCAAGTTGGCTGTGGTGAGTTGGCCGTGGGGAATTGTCACCGACCCAGGTCCAGAATGGAGGCAGGTGCTGGGTCTGGCCAGCTGGATGTTGGGACAAAAGGGTGTCGCCTTCTGGACTCATCAGGAGCCTCTGTAAGCAGCCACAATCCTGTTTTTGAACCCAGCAGGCACCGATATAGGAGAATATTGGTAGCTCAGGGTTGAAGTAAGGGGTCCTTGGCGCTCTCTGAGCTTCGTGGTTTTCTTGCAGACGTTTCATTGCCCAAATTAGATAACATCACTAATACTGGTGATGTTACCTAGCTGGGTCATGAAACGTCTGCAAGAAAACAAGCACAATCAGAGATCACCAAGGACCCACCACCCCGCCCCAGTGGGCACTACAAGCCAAGATCTGCTTAGGGCAGCAACTTGACCCCTGGTCCTCAGAAGTTAAAGGACCTCTTGCTTTGCAAATGCAGGAGAAAAACAGCCCAATGCAGATCTTCTCGTCTTGAAGAAATCAAGATTTCCATTGTGAGCAATGCTGCTTCTCAGAGTTGGTAGACTTATGTTAGGGTTTGTGTTTAGTGAGTAGGTAAGACTATGGAGTGAGGGGAGCCCTGGTTCTATATTACATTTTTTTTTCATGTTTCAGTGGCCACCACTGTTTGGTGTTCCACTGTTACTGGTCCCCTGTAATCCATGTTTGGTATGAATTCCTCCTGGCCAATTCCTCTTTAGCAAAAAAGAAAAGAAAAAAAATCTCGTATTTCGTTCTTGCTCTCCTCCTCTCTCTCTTATTCAGCTTCCCCTGCTCCCAAAATAAAGTCCTCTTGATTTCTGATCAAAGATTGTTTTCCTTCTCCTGCACCTGGAACAAAATCTGTCGAGTAGAGACACTCTATAGCAGAGGTCTCCAACCTCGGCAACTTTAAGACTTGTGGACTTCAACTCCCAGAATTCCCCAGCCAGCGCATGCTGGCTGGGGAATTCTGGGAGTTGAAGTCCACAAGTCTTAAAGTTGCCGAGGTTGGATAGGCCTGCCCTACAACGTCCTCAGCCAATCCGTCCACCTGTCTCTGGAACTCTATGCATGATTCTTGAAACCAGCCCTGAATTCCAAAGAGATAAACGGATTTTTCCTATACAGAGTTATCTCACATCTCACTTACTGCAGTTTTAACTTACACAAAAGAAAAAAAGAAAAAAGAGAGAGAAGAGGCTCTTAAAATGGTTAATATTATTATTAATTATTTTGTTTTTGGTTTCTCCTGACTCTATGAACACAAAGAGGTGCACGTCCTACCATAGGAGGAAGCAATGGCTGTTAAGTTTTACAGTTATAATGGAACGCGCCGCGCCGGTCGCCCTCGGCTTGGCCAGGCGTCCCCCGTTACTGGATGTGACAGGCAGTGGAAGAGGTGGCTTGACAGCACATGCAAGTGGGGTTGACGGACTTGGGCGGAATCAGGTCAAGGTCCTCGTCGTCCGGGATCTCGTCCAACCGGTATCCGTCCTTGAGAAGCTGGATATTCAAGTCCTGGTTGATCTGCTGCAGACAAAGAGACAGGATGTCAATCCAGCCACGGTCCTACCGAGAGGCACCTGAGAGGCACCTAGCCCAGAATTGTAGGCAACGACATGGGTATTAGAGGGACTTCTTCGTAATTAGAGGGTTAGCTTCCTTAGATATCGAATTATAACATCTATCCCAGGGCAACTCTATGTTGTCATATTGTGGTGAGTTTATTACGGTGTTATCTTAATTTAATATTTTATCTCGTATTGTATTGTCATTCTGTCTGTCTGTCTGTCTGTCTATCTACCTACCTACCTACCTATCTACCTACCTATGTATATATACAGTATTCAAAATTTTGTAGCTGACAAAGAGTTAAAGCTACAAAATTTTGAATTTACAGTTTTCACAGTAGTGAGGTCTGCCTGCAAAAAATGCTCCTAGACTGGAGCGAAATGCAGTAGCAGATTGCTTTGTCCTATATTTGGTAGACCGGGTGCTTCACCCAATATATATATATAGCTGCCCAGGTTCAAATCTCAGAAGGGTATGGCTAGCTGATAAATAGCTCGAAATAGCTATACTAGTCTCCCTTTAATATAT